TGTAAATCATTACCTTTTAACTCAATATTCCGCCATATAAGTGGTGCACTACATCTATACCAAAAGCGGTTAACAAACAAAGCGGTATAGAGGGATTCGTCAATTGCTAAAAAATGTAGAATCAATTCTAATAATTCCGGCAAATTAAAAATGTTAAGTTGTGGCATTTCGAAGTAGTATATATCGGAAATCTAGAAATCAAATCATAAATAATTATTATACTTTGCTACAAAGCATTATTATTTGTAATATGGAGAAGAACCCTGGAATTTATTCAGTCTTCAGCTTGGATTATCCTACCTAATTCTGATCTAATTATCCGTTTTGCAATCCGCTCCATTTCAGCCTCTTTCTTTTTTCGTTTTTCACTGGTATCTTGCTTAACTATATTGGGTCCTTTAACGAGAAGCTTCGTTTCCTCAGGTAAGGCTATTTCTTGAGAGGTATTGGGAGATGTTTCAGACTCCTTGAATTTAACATTCTTATTATACCATTCAGGCAAGTTGGGTTCCCCTATCGAGTTGGCATGTTCATAAGGATTGGATGACGCCCATATTTTTTTGATCGTTGTAGAACCTATATGGTAATGGGCATTAACTTTTTTTATCCCGGCTTTGAGTTGCTCGGCAAATACTATGGCAGTGATATCTTCTTTAGCTAAGCGGGATGGAACTGTTTTTTTCTTGGAAGACTTCGCCGAATCATCTTTGTCAGATTTTTTTGATGGCATCTTGAACGGAAATTATATCTTGCAAGAAAAAAAAAATATACAATATTTATTATAGCGGAGCTAGTGCCAAGGCACATAAATTATGAATATGAATACATTTAATACCACCGGAAATTCTAGAAAATATCTCCTGGATGACGTCAAAAAAAAGCTTAATGCATGGAGTGCACTTTCTCCGAAAGATCGTTTTTATACAACAACAATACATACAGACGCATTTTCAGATAAGAAATACTTATTATGATAACATTAAAATTATTTTTATATGCGACTAAATAGTTATATACTATTATTTTTTCTTACCACAGCAATGGATACAGCATATAAATTCGAATAGTCTACTTCACATTTATTTCTGCTAACATCAAATTTATTTCCGCGAGTTGGACATCAAAAGGATTATAGTGCACTTTCTTTGAAAGATCGTTATTCTTAGGCTGAGATTTAGGTTCGGGTTCAGTATTAGTATCAGGATTGGTATCGGAATCAGAAGA